TTATGAAAATCATTGTAGGGATGGTTGACGGGGAAGTCTCCAGCTGCTGAGTTAAGTGCTGTTTACTGTGGATCTGATGCCTTTGGTTGTCTTCCTGCCTGTGGTCCATTTGGTGCTCACAGCTGCTTTTCTCTCATTCTCTCCCTGTAGTTACTGGGGCTTCCGGATGCAGATGACGACGCGTTTGAAGAGTACAGTGCTGACGTGGAAGAAGAGGAGCCAGAGGCAGACCACCCCCAGATGGGGGTCAGCCAGCAGTAAATCTGGGGGCTCCCCTGAGAAGCAGAGTGAGCCCCACGGTAACCTAGGCGGGGCCACTGTCCCTCCTGGGTTAGCATTTTGCATTAGCACTTCGAAATAGGACGTCTGGCTCCCAGCATCCAAATTAAAATGAAATACCTTTTTAACGACCACAAAATATCTGTGATGAGCTTTGCTCAGAAGTGACCTGAATTTCACTCCCGCTTCAGTGGGGTTTCTATGGAGTTGTCTTGGTAGCCTTTGCCATTTTGAATTTAGAGTCCATTTTGTGGCTGACTATTCTCTTGAGTTTATGTTGGAGAATTAACATTCGCTGACTCGAATGTAGAGAACTCTGAATGTATTAAGGATATGTTTTGAGTCCTCACAGGTGACCTTACTGAGGGAAAGCATGGCAGAGAAGAAATGCAGTCTGCACTTTTTATGTACTTTTTAAGTGTCCGTAAGTGAAAGGTTTTGCTTATAAAGCATGAATTTTAATATCTAGTCATTAAACTGCACAAGTGCAAATACAAGGGCAGGAAAGGATAATCACTTAGCTTTGGAGTAAGAGGGTAAGAGAGGCCCAGAAGCCTTTAAGTGTTTTGCCATTACTAAGTTACCTGGGTATGTAGCGACTGGTTCGTGGTTAGGTGTAAATGTTACTTGCTTGTTCGATTGCTTCAAAACATGCTAATTCCAAAGCCACTTTAAAAGTCTATAGTGGAAAATATAGATAGGGTGAAAGATATAATTTATTGATTTTTAAAGCTGTTTATAAGCCGTCCCACGTATAAAATGAAACATTTTACCTTCTCTCTTTCTAATGAGATGGCCACTTGTTAAATCAAGAAAACATCCAGAATCCAAGTGCCACTTAAACTTTGAAGCCATAGTTAAATTTGATAGAAAAGTAAACCGGGATTAAAAGTTTGTACAAATATAATAGAATCCTTCTTTACTTTTTAAGTCTTTTATTTAAAAAAAAAAAAAAAAAAAGCCAAGAAAAGGATTCCATTGTGTAATTTATTTAAAAATTTAATCACATATCTTGAGGGACTTAATTGTGGTGTATTTGTAAAGGGACATGAAGGTAGGAATCTTTTAATCGTGGGTTAGCTTGGTTAAAAGGGGACGTTTTAATAATCAAGATACTCAGACAACTCACAGAAACAACTTCTGTAATAACTGGAAATACTGCTGTTATCATTTCGCCAACACTTACTTACTGGGGAAATCCTTTGTAATGCTAACATGGAATTATTCTTGGACCCTTCTGCATCCCTGGTTCTAGTAACTTAGGATGTGGAATGCCTCCTCTACAACACTAGATTAAACCTAACATCTGGGGTGGGTACGTTTCAACAGTCACACATGTGCCTGTTAGGTTGTCAAAGTTTTGAATTAAAAACAAGCAGTAGCAGCAGAGGCCACAGAACTTATGGGAGTCTTGTATATCTTCCAGGCATGTCGGTGTAAACCTGATTGTCTCGACATTTTCTGTTTAATTGATTGGTGCTGTGAGGAGTTCGGCTGCTCGTGGTAAAACAGCGTACTCCAGTTTTAAGTCATCGGGTAAAATAATAGTACAGTGGTTTCCATCTGTGCTTCAGTACCCACTTTCTGTTCTTTTCTTGAAAAGTCATACTAAAGGTTAATTTCAAGTAAAATGAATTTCCTTCTGAGTAGCCTATTAGTAAAACACAACTTAGTGTTTCTTCCATTGGGGTGAGCATATTCTGCCCTTTGCAGCCCTGCCTGTGTTCTGATTGGCTCCATTCATGAGCAAAGGTGATTGTGAGCTGTATATTACATAGATGTCGCCCAGGTTTTGTAACCTCCATTTTAATGCAGTAAGCCCACAAGAATGACTTCTGCAAGTGAAATGAGGAAGCTTCACTAGCTTGCTCCGTTGGAGGGTAAACTGAAATTTTATACATTGAAGCTTAAAATCTAAATTTACATATGTTTGGAAATGGAATGGACATTAACATAAAATGTATTTTATCAAAAAAGTGTTTAGACTTTGACCAAATACATGTTGGTATTATCATGTTAATGTTCTCTGTTTATAAAAATTGAGTGGAGATAGACTCAGCCATTCTGTGGGCTGATGAGAATTCTGGGCTTTGTTTTGCACCAGGGGTAGGAGACAGAGAACATGTCCGTATGTTACTTAATTTCCATTGCAAAATCGCAAACAGCATTAGCAGATCGAATTGTTTCCCCTAAAACTTCCTTTTTCTGAATGTGTACACATCCCTTCTTGCGCTCACACACTTGCCCACACACTCACTTCTTCCTGCGCTGTGGCTGCTCTAAGCAGGGCTGTGCATGGTGCAAAGCTGCAGTCAGTGAGCCTGGCAGCCTGTGGTTTCTGTTATGGAAATGGTTCCGTGGTGAAACATGCCCCTGACCCTTCACAGACTTACACGTATACTCACCAGGAGGTGGCAGCGGTGTGGGAGGAGCGTTGACCTTGGACGCAGGAGAGACACCTGGGTTCTAGTTCCAAGTCGGCAAAGGATTGTGTGACCTTGACAAGTCAGTTAACTGATCGTGAACAAGGGGCGTTCGCCCTTCCAGCTGTAAACACTGCCCTTCTGTGCCTGCCTTATGTGTGTGTGTGAGTAAGGAGCAACAGTCAAGGAAACTTTTAGGGATTCGAGAAGAAAATACATGCGGGATCTTGCCCAGGTGCTGCCTTTAGGATGCTGACCCCCGCACTACCTTAGAACATGTTGGTCTGTGAGTGCCCAAACCCCTGAGGGCTCGATCTCATGGGGCTGATGAAATTCTCTTCCTTAAAGGAAAGGGAAAGGTGAGGCCCCAGAGGACTTATCTCAGCTGTATATCCTCTGCCTGTGGAGACATGGCTTTTCTTTGTGTCATGGCAGACTGGGGCTTTGGAAGTAGTGTGTGTTTATCTTACCCGAGAGCGGAAGATGTGTAGGAAGAACAGCTGGAAGAAAGTGAAAGATGAGTACCAGTACTTTTTGCCATGTTATCCAGTAGAGAGAAAGTGACAGTGAAAGTAAAGAGAGAGAGAAAGTGTGTGTGTGTGTGTGTGTGTGTGAGAGAGAGAGAGAGAAAGAGAGAGAATGAGGAATGCTTGATTGCTTGCTGATCACTGGGCCAGCTCTGAAATCCGAAATCATGCCTTGATAACATTACAAAACCGTGATCCTGGGTTTGAGTGAATCCTAGAGACGTTGTTATGGCTGCCTGGTTTCCGCAGCCTGATCACCATGTCGAGCAGACGTCAAGGAATCAGAGTGAAGTACGGAGCCAGGGAGGGAGGTGAGGCCCCGTGCAGTGCCTGTCACCACTGTGGATTCACCTGCACTCAGGTGTCCATTCCTGTCTCCCAAGCCCAAAGCAGCACATGATGCAATTTGTTTTCCAACAAGCAGAGTGTGAAAATTCTCTTATGTAGGGATCCTCCTTGTGTCCTGGTGCCAGAATTAGGTTTCCAGTGTACTTCACGAAAACTTCTCTCCTTTATAGTTGCTATCATTTTTCATGTATAAACAGAAACCGTCTCTAGCACAATATATTTTTGAATATTGTTTCTGTTTCTTAAGAGCACAATGTATATGGACCTAGGGGAGCTGGGGTCCCAAGTGTCACTGGAATTTATATTTTAGGAATAGGCTTTGCATGTTAAAATTCACAAGTTGGGAAACTGGTATGAACAGATCTGATTTCCCACAGAGAGGCATGAAGGAATAGGTGGGACTTAACTTGGGGTGGGAGGAGATGAATGAAGGAAAATGGGAGAGTTGGGATCTGACAGTTACCACCTGAGCCCCAGGAAAACTGTTTTCATTTTCACGGCTGTCTCACTGGGGGCCTGCTTTCCTCAAAGGAACTGACTGTATGTTGAGAGGCAATGCCTTGTGTTGGCATGGCTTTGCCACTGTAAAGGTGCCCCCCAGCCAAGGAGACCAACAGGGACCCTGCTCATCTGGTGGGTATCTTTCCTTCAGTAAAACCAGCTGCCAGCCTGAGAAACCTGTCTTTTCCAAGCGCAGGCAGATCTGAGAGGGGCTCCAGGCATCTGGCGGGTAAATCACAAAGCAAACTTGGGTCTCCTTGGCAGCAGGGAGGAAGCAGGAGTGCCCCCTCAGGCCAGAGGGCAGGGCCCACCTCCTCACCGTGCTTCAGGGTTGTAGAAAGAGCACAATTAATGCTCAAGCGATCACAGACCCCTCTCCCCTGCAGTGGGTGTTAGCTCCAAAGAGATGCCATTGCCGATCACCCAGTCTTCGGAGAAGCCTAAAATTTCTTTGAATTAAAAACTGATCCTCTTTCATAAAGACCCAGTCACTTCTCCCAGTTTAGTGATAACAGGTATGACACAAGAAGCTGAAGTCTTTTAGATTCTATGGAGAGTAGTTCTGAAACCTGCCAGAATGCTGGTAGCCTGTGGTGTCCATGGCGATGGGTGTCCATGGTAAAATATCTATAGCTCCTGCTTACTGGGCAAATTGTTAAATAATATGTTGCATTTTATATTTTTATTTAAATCTGGATTACAAAAATATAGTACCCATGAGCATTTCATGTTAGAAACCCCATTTAAAGCACTGTAAGGCTGAATAGGCACAAGCGATTAAAAGTATATGCCAGGCCACATAAAAAGAAATGTTTTAATTTGCTTAGAGCTGTATTCAAGTTGTTCGGCACCAGAGAGAAAGCTGACAGTCTGTTCTTTGTAAACTGCCTTTTCCTGTTTTTCTGTTTTGTTTTGTTTCTCGAGTTTCATTTTTTACTAAGCCCCTTCTGATACCTAGGCAGATAAAGATAAGAGCAGTGCTCGGTACAAATGTCAGCTCTGAAGAGGAGGAAGTCAATCTTCAATGCTAGGGCAGATCTTCACTATCCATGGTCCAGTCTTAATTTGAGCATGAGAGCAAAATTTAGTCATCTACACAAGAAGCAAAAGCAAGGAATAGTTGTTGAGCTTTTGTTTTTTGGTTGTTTCTTTCTTTCTTTTTTTTTTTTTTTAAGGCAAGAAGTGTTGCCGGTAGGGTATGTGTGCTTTCTTTGCCTTCCTATTTCCTTTCAAAGAAATCTCTTGTAAATTACAAAACTGTGAAATGGGTTGCCAAAAACTGTTGCCCTTCGTTAGATGCTTCAAACAGTGTAAATCCTGTACTGCACCCTGTCCACCTCTGCTCCCTCCTCCCTCCCCTGAGATTGAGGACCTCATCCGACCATGTAATTACCATTCGCTTGCTATTAAAGAGCCTTTCAAACTCTGGTGGTGTTTGCCTCTTTTTTTTCTGCCTCCACAATGTTTGGTCCTAAAGGACACCTAATGTGGCTTATAAATGAAGAACAAGGAGTAAAGGACTGGCAGCTCGCTGTGTGGTTGCTGTGTGTGAGGAGGCTGGGGGAAGAGAGGGAGGAGCTGGTGACATGAAACACTGTCATTGTTCAAAGATTAATCATTTCTGTGTGATGCATTCATATGTCTATTCTGATGCTATAACTGGTAGTTAGTAATTTTCTTCTTTGAACCAATACTTTAGTTTTGTGTTTGAGAATCCTATTTTTTTCTAGCCTACTTAGGAATTCTTTGTGGCATCAATTAGAAATCTGTATTCTGTGGTCATTCTATGACATGACACCATGTCTCCACCACCTTCCTCCTGGTTATTTATTCAGTAAACATGGCATTTAAATAACTTATCTGGAAGTTGATGGTAAGTTCTGTTATTTGATTAAGAGCAAGTTTCTTTCTCCAAATGAATGGGTCTCCATAGAGAGACCCATTAGATTCGATTAGATTTGAGATTGGCTTCACAGGCACAGCATAAAGGCTTGTGTGTATGTTAGATAGTGTGTAGTCCTTTGTTTTCGATGCTGCTGTTAGAGATTGTACTCAAGTGGTGAGCTGTGTGTCAGCATTTCCAACCCCGCTCGGCTAAGGTAGTGGTGCAGCAGCGGGGCAGGCGAAGCCTTACTGATGGACTGCCTTTGTTACAGTTATTCTATCCGTCTCAGAGATAGAGTTCATAAAATGCAGGTTGGCTCCTTTAAGTGCAGGGACTGGTGTTAAAAATACCCACGTTTCCCCCTCGTAATCATTCTGAAATCAGTGGCTGAGGGCAAGAGGTTCTAGCCCAGACTCCTCCTGGGCTGACTGTGGCCCTAGGCATGACCCTTCCCCACCCCACCCCATTTCCGGCTTTGTTTCCTCATCTGTAAAAATAAAGATTGGGGGACTTGTCCCTGAGTTCCCTTTGGGCACTAGCCCTGACTTGTCTAGGGGAGTCAGGAGTCAGTAGGGAGGACAAGAAACACAGTTATGGAAACACTCACAAAACCAGGGTGGGGCGGCCAGGATTGGCAAAACTGTCCTGGGATTCTGAAGCCCTTTTCCCTAGGATCCCTTTTGGAATTGAAGACGCCAGCTGATACTGTGGCTGTGTGTCAGCCCGCATGCTTATGTCCCTGCACGTTTCTTCTGCCTTCCCACACCTTCCTTCTCTTCGTGAAAGTAATAAGGAGTCAGAACTACAACAAAATGAAATTGGGGTGTTTAGCTTAGGGATGTAATCAACAGTCTCACTCCCTTTAAAAATTAGCCTTGTTTCCATAGTGAAGTTGGGCCAAGTGGGATCCTCCATTGTCCTAGAGTTCATTGTGTACAGGTGTGGGTTGAAGGACAACAAAATAAAACCAGACCCACCACCCAGCATTTAGACCCCACACCGGGGCTGGACTAGGAGGACTTGGTGTCCGTGTACCCGAGTGTCTGTCGGGGTGGCGTTGCCCGGTGCCCTGCCAAATCGGAGTGAATGAACATTCCTGTCTCTATTTAGCAGACTTGGCCCTTTGGAAACGCAAGAAATGCATCCTGAAAAAGCTGGCACTGTGCTTCCCTTTTAGGGCCACCATACGCAAAAATCTTCGAAGTACTTTCCCTGTCTCTGACCCTCCTTTTTTCCTTTTTGGAGTAAACAATGACACTTGTAATGATCTGGGCAAGTTTTAATTAGGCAGTCAAGGAACAAGGTAGGCATTTTTTAAGGGATCATTTAAAGTAACAAATATTTTATCCTTATTTTGTAGGGAAATACGGCAATAAATGTACAGTGTAAAAACCAGCAGTAAAATTAAGTTGGCCCTTTGGGATGCTTTTTAATTAGAAGCCTCTAGAGGTCAGCACCACATAAAGAAAGGGCTTCTGAGTTCAGGGTATGATGCCCATTTCCTTGTGGAGCTTTTGGGAAAGGAGGGTTGGCAAATGTCCAGGCTGGGGAAGGAGAAGTGGAGAGCCTTTTTCTTTATACATAAATCCTAACATTTGACTGGGTTGTTTTTTTCCCTGCTCACCCATCTTTCTCTGCAGCTTGCATACCCCTACGTCACACACTGTCAGTTCGATAAACATGACTTATTGACCGGTCAATGAAGTGTTCCTTTCAGCTCATGCTGAGAAGGGCTGGGGAAATGCCGAAGATGAGATGGAAGGCACATTGCATTTTGCTTGGAGCAAGGTGGGAGGATGCTGGGTGTTCCAAGGCCTTTCAAAATATTTGTTAGCCCACAGCCTGTTAAACTCTGCAAATTCCAGTGGAACGTCAGGAAACACAGGTTTCTCCCTAGAATCCATATCTGGCTCCCTGAAGCCTGCACAGATCAGGGGTGGGCTGGGGGAGGATTTGAGCATCTTCAGGAGGTCTGGCCAGAACTGAGATAGTTGGGATCCCCTAAAAACTTGTAGACATGCCTGTGGATCCCCAAAGTACAAGACCCACGAGCTCTGTGCAGCGATGGGCCGCAGGCTTCACAGACCACTTGAGTTCAAGTCCAAAACCAGAGGCAGCCTTGGGAGGCCACAGAGGCTCCCAGCGTTGCCCCGGGGTTTCATTTTGGCCCAGCAAGGAACAGAAAGGGAAAACAATACAAAGACTTTCCTCCCTTCTCTTTCGCTTGCCCCTTCTGTTCAGGGTTTACTGCTCCTGTCTACCAAGGAAGGCTTGATTCACAACACAAATCGTATTGACAATTATTCTTTGCTGGGTGATTAGATGAGCCTTGGACCCTGAGGTTCTTTCACTCACTGAGAAGATTGGTGGAAAAGACGACAAATATGTCACAGGCACGATGGAAGCCCAGTCTTAACATCTTAGCACTTAGTGGCCTAACAGCAGTTTCACTAGTACCATTAGATTTCAAAATGCTGGATTTGGATCCTCGTGAGTGTGGACTATATTCCTTGCAAGTATGGAGCAGTCTGATGACTTTTCAGTTGTTTTGTCATGAAGCCAACAGTGCTGAGTAGATGTGCCCCCCCTGTGTGTGCTATTACATACACAATTTTTTTTTTGTAACAAACTTTTATGTAGTCCTTGCTAAGTACCACACACTGTACTAAGTTTCTTTTAACTCATTTAATCCTTCCAACAATCCTACAAGGTAGATATTATGGTTGATATTCTCTTTTTACAGCTGAGGAAACTGAGGCACAGAGAATCTAAGTAACTCTCGTAAGACCACACAGCTAATAAGTGCCAGAGCTGGGATTTGGACCCAGGCAGTTTGGTTTCAGAACTCTTAACTACTCTGCTGAATAACAAATGTTATGGGGGTTGGTCTTACGTTTACTGAAATCTCTGATTTTTTTCACACCACAGCACTGAGACCCTGCCTGCCTGTACACTTCATGCAGTGCATGCTGCTAATATCTGTGGTTGCCTGAGAACAGATGGAGTGAAGAGAGCATTTCCCTAGCTGTTTGCCTTGCCTGTGGTCAGGTTGGCCATGCAGGGTGGTTTAGGATAATAGCAGACACATTTTTTTCTGGTATCCATGTACTTGCAAAGATTTATGAAAGTGACTGGAAGAACCGGGGCAACAGTTTATAAAATAAGAGGATCCTCAGATGGGGGCAGAACTGGGGAAACAACCATTGGCTTTCCTTTCTGTACCCTTCTTTCTAGATCTTGGTCCCTGAGGAGCCCTTTACAAGGGTGTTACAGACTCCTGTGTCTCCCTCGTCATAGCGAAGAGGCTTTTGCTCAGACTTACCTTGAAGCAACCAGCAGCGGAAATGCATTCTCTAGTCAAGAGGAGGCCTGGGAGCAAGAAGAAAGCTCTCTTCATCTGTTGATATGTGATAACATGCCATTGAGTCACCGTCCCACACCAAGGATTCCAGTCTGTCTGTGGCTGCACCCCTCAGCCATCCAGATACATTTCTAGCCTGCCTTCCTGCTCCACGCAGAGGCAGCGCACACACACACCCTCGATACCACTGCCACTGCTGGATGACTGTCGTGCTACTGTGCAGAAGGAATGAGTGCAAATCTGAGACCCCCTTTCAAAGGCAAACACAATTCACTTTTGAGCTCATCAGCTCATTTGGACTATCTCTGCCACCATTTTCTCCATTCCTATGGGAAAGAAAGGCTGGCCAGATCAGTATCCCATAAAAAATGCAGGCACCCCAAATCTGCTGTTCTTGCTTCTAAGATTCTGAGTGCCATCACATAGTTCCCGAATGACAGGCTTCAGGCCCTGCCATGGCAGAGTGGGCTTGCTGGTGAGTGGCTACAGGGAGAGGGTGCAAAACCTCAGGAGCAGCACTTTTGTGTTTTCCAAATGATGCACGGGTGAGAGAAAGGAACGCAGGAAAGGTGAGTCAAAAACCTTTGGGAATACAAAAATAAGGAGCATAGGGCTGCACAGGTTTGGAAAGAGGAGGAGGCAGTGTCGTGATGAATGCACATTGGGTTTCTGGATCTGATGCGTGCCTTCCCGCATTACTTTGGTCATTTAGATGTTTAGTTTCTTCTACTTAGGAATGTTAAGGGGGCATTTTGAGCCCGGGGCTACAAGGGGCGAAAAAAAGAAAACAAACTGTTCTGCAGAATCAACTTTGGAATGGATCTGGAAAGTCAGAATTTAAAAATTTCTGACTTCAGTATTCCCTAAGGTCAGAAATGTAAATCCAATAACGGGAAAGGATGTGAAATGTACAGTCCCCCCTCAAGTCTCACTCTGGGTGGATGCTTTCACCTCATTAGATGCATCTGGGAGAGCTGGCCCAGGTCTGTCTGTCCCACTAGACCCCATGCTTCCTCACTTCTCTCCCACCTTGGCTGACATGGAGCACTTTGTAATAAAGAGGTTCATTCCCTGAATTTAATATGGGGTGTCATCAAGGCCTTTACTAGACAACAAGCATGTCCTCTCCTTCCCAGCAGCGATGACCTCCCCACAAGAACATGCCCCTCGCCGAGGTCTTCATCTCTCTCCAGAAAAGGAGACCCAAGGAGCAGCGCCCAGGGCGGAGCCTCCGCCTGGATGTGAAATACTCAGGATGCTACAAAATCACCATGGTCTTCAGTCACAAATGTGTGTTGGCCGCGCCACCATCCTCTCTCTGCCAGCACACAGGAGGAAAAGCAAGACTCACGAAGGACATTCCTGTAGGAGAAAGCAGCAGAAAGCACCTTAAGCGAAGAAGAATGAGAGACCGTCCCCATACACACATTCTGGGAAATACAAAACATGCCCTTCATGTTTCCAAGTGGCCTTAGTTTTCAAACCGTACTCAGAGAAAACTCCCTGTATGAAAAAATGACTCTTGTTTAGCCCACATTGTTTGCCAGCTGGCTTTCTGTGGCAGCTCTGGCTGGAGAGAACCCTGGATACTTAAGCAGTCCTTTTCCTTCCTCCTGTTGGGATGATGTGTGGGGAGAGTGAGGAAGAGGGAGTCGAAAAAGGGAAAGGGATGAATGAAGTCATCTCAGCGCACATGGATTGTTTCTTTGGTGTTTTGTGGAGATTTCACTCCAGGGGGCTTGGACCAACCAGTTTACTTGGGTAGAAGCAAACTTTGCTCACCTAGCCAAGGTTTCTCAGTGGAGGATGGCAGGGGGCTTAGCCATTCTTTGCCATGCTTACTTTTGGTCCTGTATATGTAAAGTTGACCAAAACCCTCACAAGGACTGTGATCCGATCTGCTTTCTGCCATCATCTCCCACCCTCCTGCCTATCTCGTATGCCCAGGCTAAAACTGGTGGTTTGGCTGAGGAGTGGGTTATGCTTCATGGTAGAGCTAAAGTTATCCTGATCTCTCTTGATTTCCCCTTCCTTCAAAGACTCCATTTCTGACCCTGGCCAGCTCCCAAATAGCTCCTGTAATTGGTTACAAGCAAGGCTAAGTGAGATAGTGATTTGATTCTGGAAGCACAAACTGGTGCCCCCATGGCACTGGAGAAGCATCTTCTCCATGTTCACCTCGCAAGCTTTTGAAAAAACCTGTCATTCAGAAGCAAGCCAAAACTGTCATCTCACTCAATGCTAATGAACTCATCAAATCCATTCGCAGGGTTTCAGCTCTTCAGAACGCTGGCCAAGCCTTTGCTTAGTACACGAAAGAATATTCCCTGGGGTGCTTTTCAAACCCTATTCTGACCCCATACCCTAAACTGTGGAAGAACACAAACACAGTTGGCCACATGCTCTTGAAAAATTCAATCTGAAAGCTAGTGTTGGTTACTAAAGATAGGATTTTGATAAAAGTAAAACACTGAGCCGTGTATGCTGCTTGCCGCTAGGAGTTCTCCCGGGAGGACAGTCCTGCCTGCCCGCTGCTGTGGAAGAGCATTCCATATGTGGAGTGGAGCAGGGCAGCTACTGGGAAATACAGTGACCTTGACCTCTTACTCCATCAACAAAATAATGGCACTTTTATGAGACCTCTAGAAATAGAACTTTTTATCTGGCACCATCTTATGCTATGCTTTGGAGCAGTGATGTCACCAAGGAGACAGAAACTAGGGAATTCATCCTCTTGGGCCGGGTGACTAATCCTGTTTCCCAACCTCAGAACATTTGCTGATGTCATCTATCTTCCCAAAACCACACCAGCCTGGAGGTAAGAAGATAGTCACATCAACTCACAAATTCACATTTCTGTGACTCTATCGCATACTGTGGGGATTCCCAACCCTTCTCATATTCCTCCCTAGTATTCCAGGAGGTGGTCCTCGGGGGCTGACTCATGTGCTTCCCAAGTTCATCTTCTATGGCACCCGGTGTTCTCCCTGGCTTTAATGCACAGCCTCTCTTCTGATGCTACAGAACCCCATAATGGCAATGGGTTTGCCAGAGCCCACAGAGGGGCACAAGGTCACCCACCAGAGGAGCCCACTTTCCTGCCACTGCCCACCAGTGTTTACCCTGAAGCTGCCAGCACAAGGCGGTGAGGACCTGGGTGTGTGGTCCAGGGTGTTGCTGCCAGTGACTACAGAGAGTGCCACACCAATGAGCAATGAGTGATGCCCCAGTGACAGCTCGCTCCATTTTTATTCGTCTTTTATTCCAGCCACTCACTGAAGGGGCATGAGTCCAGACAGTTGGACATTGCTCTGAGTAACAGAGCCAGAATCTCCTTTTCATCCAGCCTTGCCATTGTCACCCATGAACCCAGTTTACGAGCTTGACATGTTTTCCTTAGGATGAGCTCTGCCCACTGAGGCTCCTTGGGTCCTCCTATAAGCAAGCTCCTAGCAGATCCACCCTCCTGACATACCAGTATGTCCAGAAACAACATTAGCTGGGTCTTGCCATCCAGCTGAAATAGGGTGAATAATTCCTTTGGGTGGCCCTAAGGTGCTGAGTGGAGGGGATTTAGCCAGGGCAGAGGAAGGCTAAGGTCCCCAAAGTCTCCCTTCCCCCATAGGAAGTACTTTGGTGAGGAGGCTGTGGGTCAGGTGACTCTTTACACCTGTGAAAGCTCTTTTGCTTAAAGTTGACCATTAAAAAGTGATTTATTGGCAACCTCAGGGTAACAAAAGCCTGGCTCACCAATCAAGGCCAGCAAGTCTCTCAAACTTTAAGGCTCCTAAGAATCACCTGGTGGTGGGGCTGGAGCAGAGGCAGTGCCTGTGAAACATGCAGATTCTTGGGCTGCACTCCGGGGGTCTGCTGGACACAGGAAGCTGCGAATTTACAAATACTCCAGGCTTACAGTTTACAAATACGTCCGGAGGTCCTGATGTAGGTGGTTCATGGACCACACTTTAAGAAACCCTGGGTTGAGCCTGCCTCCAGGCTTACCATGTCATTCACCATGTCTACAGGGAGCCAAGATTCATCACAATGTGACTGGGTGCCAGGAGCTGGGCAAAATTCCTTCATGATCCTAACGCATCTCATTCTATAAAGATAAAATCCTTGTACAGATGCCACAGTGATCTCCATTAACATCTCAAAACTTGGGGGAAAAAAAAAGTCTCCCTTCTAAGCTCATGGTGACAGAGCTGGGGGCAGCTGGTTGTGCCTAACTCCAAGGCATGGTCTCTTATCTTAGAATGTCACATTGCTTCTGTGACATTTAGGGGACACGAATGAGCAGAGGCCAAGTTGTATTTGGCAGCAGTGCTTGATTGCATAGAAAAATGACAACACTACCCTTGGTACATCTATTGGCCCCAACAGGAAGGAGATGAAAGTATTGCAAAAGGAACAGCGAGCCTAGACCGAATCAGAGGACTCCCAGAAATTCACTGCACTCTCCATGATGTAATTACGCCATTAGGTTGGCCAGTTGAAGATTACACTTCAGAAGAAGTCAGAAGGCAGACGTCATTATCTAAATAGGTCATTCTGTACTCATTTCTTTGTTTACTTGTTTCTTGCCAGTCATCCACTGGATCATAAACCTTATGAAGGCAAAGCTCTTTTTGTCCTGTTCTTCACAAAATCCCCGTGTTTAGCACAGTCCTGGCCTTCTGGAAACCTTTGTGGAATGAATGAATGAATGAATGAATGAATGAATGAATGAATGGGTCATGGGGAGATGAAAGGCAGTGTTACTCTTTCTGTGGGGGGGACATGGGAAGGCTGCTTCACTCTCAAAGCAGCGCATTCTCACTCATTCATGTGTTGAGTGGCAGGTGCTGGAAGTCAGAGCACCCAAGATGCAAGCTCCTGTGCCCCTGCCCTGGACCTCAGGTCTCCAACAGTTGGGCATGTGGTTGGTAAGTCTCTGAGATTTTCAGATATATCGGGGAATAGGAACTGGAGGGGGTGGATGGTACAGGTCTCTGTGCCCCCACCCCATGATCCCTAGATGACCATCCAGAAAGTGTCATCAGCCAACTGGAAAGTCATGAAGCAGACATAGCCCTAGACATATTCTAGTGGGAAGGCAAGAACGCGTTCTGTGTCCCCTCCTGCTTTCCAACCTAAGGTAGAGGCTGCCCCGGGCACAAGAGCACTTTCAGATCACTGGTGTAGCTTTCCCAAAGCTGCCTGCCTCTGCACCATCTCTGGGAAGATTCAGAAACTGCCCCATTCCAGCGGGATGGCCTGGGGGCAGAAAAATGCTCCATGTGCCTCGCAGGCAGAGGTGGGAGCTTGGGGTGGCATTTCTCTAATGAAGTCACCTAGGTTTTCACATTTAGAACTGTGGACATCCAGGCTCCTGCTCACTGCTCTCAGAGTCACCAGAAGCCTGGAATGATGAGGCTTCTTTTCAAACACTGTTTAAGAATCTTTGATGAATCCTCATCATCTGCCATCAGGCACCACGATTTCATGATCCCCAAAGGAGTAGGGCAGGTTCCTGAAGACCTCCTGGGGCCGGTCCACCAGTGCTGGGCCACTGACTCCATGGAAGCAGTTGGCACAGCTGGCCTTTGAGACTCCGTGCCTTCAGAACCTGATGTAGTCTGGCTGTGTCCCCACCCAAAATTTCATCTTGAATTGTAATTCCCATAACCCCCATAATCTTTAAGTGCCAAGGGAGAAACCAGGGGGAGGTAACTGGATCATGGGAGCAGCTTCCCCTGTGCAGTTCTCATGATAGTGAGTCTCATGAGATCCGATGGTTTTTTTAAGTATCTGGCATTTCCCCTGCTGGCGCTCACTCCGTCCTGCTGCCCTGAGAAGATGTCTACCTTTCCTTTGCCTTCTGCCATGATTGTAAGTTTGCTGAGGCCTCCCCAGTAATGTGGAGCTGTGAGTCAATTAAACCTCTTCATACATTACCCAGTCTCAGGTAGTTCTTCATAGCAGTGAAAACTGACTAATACAAAACCCTATTTGTTTCTCGTGTCCATCTGCCTTCCTTTTCCAGTTACATCATTCTAATTGCTGTTCCTTTCTTACTTCTGGGTTCTTACCTCCCTTCTCATTACTGCTGTGACACATTCTCCCTCTACTGACTGGCAGCCTGCCCTTCTCCCTGCTGACTGTTCAGGCAGGCCTTGGTGACCACGTATGTTCACCCCAACCATAGACTTGACCCTTCTGCTTCAAACCCCATAGAAAAATTGGCATTTCCTTGCTATTCTGAAAGATGGGAATGGGAATTTGGATTTGAGAGAACTGTAATAGAGCTCTGACACCTTCCTAGAGTCTGGGTGGCAGACTGGGTTCTGACTGGGACCAGATTCCACCTGTCCTTCCTCCTG